ATGATAATACTGTACTGATGTTTTTTTTGTTTTTGTTTTTTTTTTAAATCGAGCTATGCTCAGTAAGATTGACTGTTAAGCAGTGTGTACAAACACTAGTTTTTTTTCTCATTGTATATATTTTGTCTTGGCGATAAAAATTTTTATCGTATGAGAGTTGATGATGCAGGATTCCGTGATCGTGGTATAGTTGTGCGTTAGTTTGTAGTTAAGCCTTCAAACATCGCCACTTAATTTGCCGTATAGTAATTGTCCTTCGTTAAATTTGCCTATGTCCTTGGCCACAGTCATTGCATCACCTTACTCGGCACTCGCTGCAATGAGCAGTGGAGATCTTGTTCGTGCCTGAACATAGTGACAACGGTTTATAGGTATCATCCAAAGGAGCGGTCTCTACGTCCGGCAATAGGATTCGACTGAAGGATCAACTTATTCCGTCAGCCTACCACCAAACAATTAGATAACCACTGGCGACTCCAGGAGAGAGAATGAAAACATCATATATAAAAATGCCCGTTTTGTGTTAAAATATCTTAACTAAGTCTTTATAAAGGCTTTCTTCCTTCTTCTTTTGTGTACTTCTTAAATGAAATGCCGAAATATATTCGCGTGGTATTCACTTTTGTCAGTTTGGTGACAGTCTTTCAAATTTTGTACTGTGGTGCTTATATATATTATATGGGTCATCCCGAACGAAGTCGAGGAACATATTGTTTCACCTAATTTTGACCGCAGGACTTCTCACAGATGGCTTGGACAATCGTAGAAAAACTTCACAGTTAAGATAAACAGCAAGTGTAGTTGTACATGCAACATTCAAAATGACAGCTGTTGCCATCGAAGGTCTGTTTTGGGGTGCAATTTATGGCACGCTAAATTCACAAAACAAAAACCAATTAATTTTGTGCAATAAATTATAGTTTATAAAGAATTTTTATTTATCAGCAATAAAAATCATAAACATAGTTTAACAGTTGATGAACTAAATTTATCGACTGTAAACTATAGTTTACGTATAGTAAACTATAGTTAACAATTCATACTGTCGTTAACGAATGCTAATCTAGGTTTTTCTGTCTGTAAATAAACGTTCACAATACATTATTTACAATACAATATATTTTGCTGATATTCTCTATTTTAAACGATAGTTTACATTATTTAACCATAGTTAAGTGTTGTTAATTACAGTTTCACAAATCGTAAATTGTCATTTATAATCGGAAACTATATTTAACAGACATACAAAGTATAATTAACAATCGTAAACTATGATTCAATTTTGTCAATCAAAGTTTATCGTCATAAACTATACAAAATGTAATTCGTAATCTATAGTTATTTAAAAGTTGTTAAATATAGTTAATGAATTTAAACACCTGTTAACGATAGTGTTAAGAACTCGCCGAACCAATCGCTAGAGGGAATACAAAATGTGTCATTGCTGTAAGTTTCACAAACAGATAGGAAATAGGATTCATTAGGATATCTACGATGTCCCCATTTTTTCTATATTTTTTTTTAATAAGAAATAACTTTTAATAAAAAATTACCCTGTCCTTTTTTCATTTCTTAATGAATTTGTTTTAAAATGATAGAAAATTTACTTTTAATGTCAACAAGTTATATATTTTATCAGGCAATGAAAATAATCGTTGCATAGCAAAATCTTATCATGCTGTAACTAGGATTGACCGTATTTTATGATTTACGAACAAAACTATTGTTAAGTATAGTTTTCATCGTAAATTGTAGCTTAAAGTCATGGAGAACAATTTCACGGAAAAATGTGCATCCCCGATACAAAATCATTCTGTCGTTAAACCGTGTTTCTCAAATGTGAAACTATGTTTATCAAAATTTTGTGAATTCGGTGATTTAAATATCTGTAAACTAAAGTTTACAACGTAAACTTTAATTAACACACGTTAACTATAGAGTTTACAGTTGAAAAGCATAGTTTACAAATCGTGAAACGGTACTTATCAGATAAACTATGTTTTGCAATCGCAAATGATAGTTTTCAGTGTGAAGTATAGTTTACGCTTGTAAGGCTTTAACTATGGTTTAGAAATGTGAAATATAGATTAACCTCGTTAACTATAGTTTAAGGTCCGTAAACTATAGTTTACAGTCGATATATAAACCTTGTTTATCAACTGTGAAACCATGTTTAGCTCATTTTTGTGAATTTTGCTTGCCATAGAAATACAATGCATTAGCAACATTTCTATTATATTTTGATTCGTTTTGCTCGTAAACCATGCATACAGACTTCCATTATTTTTTTATTATTTAAAAATATAATTAATTTGCGTTGTTATTGACCAATCACGATGTATTCGTAAACAAACGAAATATAAATAAATTTTCTTGAAAATAAACCTTGACATTTACGTGTTCGATTGTTAGTGTATTTATTATCGCTATCAGTCTCCATCCATGTATTGTTTGTCATCAATGTATGTTATTTACCTTTACCAGATAAATCTAGTCAAAGGCGGTACACCCAAAAAATATCGTTCTCTTTGAAATCATTTAAAATGGATTAAGAAAAGTGTGATTATTAATGAATCGTACTTCTGCTTTGACGCTGTTCTTTGTTTGTGTTTGTTGCCTGTTAATGCACAATTATCAAGTCTACAGCAATTAATAGAGACCAATAACTTGAGGCTAACTACTATAACTAATGTCTGTGAAGCACATGATATTGTTACTGTTTTCGTCAGTTAAAGTTAAAAAGCAAATTGTGTGTGGTGGGGCTGTGGGAAGGGGGCATACACACATAACCGACTGATAAGTGTTACCTGGTTGCATAGATAATCTCTATCAAATAATTTTGGGCGAAAATATAAATACATTGAAAAAGGTTGTGATACACTGTTATTTTGTTGGTGACATTAATTACAGCATTAAACTTTGTTAGGAACGCTTTTACCTTTTCAGTGGACAATATATGTATATGCAAATACGTTAACATATCAAAAATGCCCTCGGCGTCAAATTTATATGAAACATGACACATCACTAACCGGTCGCTAACGAGATTTGCGTGCATGCGAGCGTGCGCGTTCTCAATTTGCTGATTGATCGGAGAGAAAGAGGCAGGTAAGAAAAATCGCCAATCCCTTAAAACATTCACAAATATATGTTTAAACAATCAATACATTGAATATTATTTGAATTATCAATTTAAGTGTTAAAAAGTCATTTTTTGTTCCCCGGGGATGACAATTTAAAGGTAAGCATATTTTTATCTCCAATTTAAAATGCCAGGTAGTAATTGTTTTCATAATACGTGCGATCAATTTAAATCAACAGTACATGTGTTGATCATCAAAGGATTCAGGCGCATAAAATTCACGCTAAGGTATGTATGTAGCCGTTTTATGGGAACATTGGTTATATAGGTAAACCGATTTGATCGTTGATTAATCATATTCAAGTAGTGTGGTATAGTTAGTTCGCGTAGTAATTAGATGTGGGCTCCGTTGACAAAATCTGCTTTTTTCAATAATTAATGAATTTGGAGGAAAAGACATTGTTGAAATCCAATCATTTTGAATATTTGTAAATTGAAGAGGCGGATCTTGCTTCTGCTGACCTACAGGTGGGCCAAGTAATTCGATTCGCAAAGGATACCGTAAGAGGCTCATTAAAGTGACTATTTGATGTGACGGGTACACAGATTAATGCTCTAAACTCTCGTGTGTTCGTAACAATCTCGATATGGCATTTAAACAAACCTAAAATCGGCAGCTGTGTCGGAACAAGGCACCCGATATCATTCCTTTCTTTGTTGTTCTTTGGCCTTGGAAAAGGTACGGGCATGATAGACTGGTACAACTTTCTGGTATATATATATATATATATATATATATATATATATATATATATATATATATATATATATATATATATATATATATATATATATATATATATTTGATTATTTATAAGTCATCATGCTTAATATATGCCTTTATTTTATATATTTTTTTATGGTGAAATTGAGATTTGAGAAAAACGTCCATCATGTGTGGGATATATATACTGCTAGGGAGCGTATCTGTTGTTGCTATCTTTAAGAATCAATTTATCACAGAGTACTGAAGGAGTTTATTCCTTAGGTGACCTGTAACATATAAGGAGACGCGTTTTGTTTGTTTGGAAGTTGTGTATTATATAGCGTTGTTATTTTTCTCTACTCACAGTGAGTAAGCCTCATTTATTACCTAAAATAATATATTTAAAAATAAAAAAATATATAAGTGATGAGTTAATTCGGGGGCTGACACACATGTGATTGAACTTTGGATTTATGTATTTATAATAGGTATGTCATTTATAAATTTACACATAGATATAAATATAAACTTAGCCAGTATAATCTTTTTTTTTTAACTAGACATATAATATTAATTTTCATGTCAATCGCTTCTGTTGAAGACATTTTCTATTTTCTTTGGTAAATCTTGATTCACATTGATAAATGTACGTTTCTGTTGTAAGTGGCGCCCGAGCGCCCGCGGCAGATTTTGTGCCCATAGAACTTGTTCAAGTCTGGTCTATTAATCATTACATTTATTACTAGGGATTTTTTTCTGGAGGAAACACTTTTCAAATGATAGGGAAAAAGCTAATCGTTAAAATCGTTGCTCGATATCTTAGTTCCTTTGTCAAAATGATCAGGTTTGGTACAAAAAGGAAGTATAGCTAATAATTAGAGGATAATTAATTTAAAAAAAAAATAAAATGTAGGTTTCAAAAGCACACATGACATATTGGTATTTCTATGAAACCAGACGTTGATTGAAAACCATTCTAGCGACAAAATAAAAAGACTCGGAAAAAAATGTGTATTAAAGTTCTGAGCATAACAAATAGCATGTCAAGCCGTGATTGGAGAGCTCATGTTATCAACATGTGCGTCTCGTTAGGCGCTCATACGATTATGACCAGTTACACTGGATAGACGCTGTTTCTTTTTAACAGTAAACTCATTTTTGTTCATCATTTTAAGTGGGAACATTGGCATAGAAATACGGATCTTCAGTGACGACTGATTTCTAAATATTGTGTTACATGTTTCACGGGTTATTGATTTTGGGGAAAAAGAGAGTCTATATATATATATTTTCCCCTCTTGTTGAAAATAGGTCTACTGCTGGATCGTTCTTGCTAAGTGGCAGTGTTACTGTTGTTTGACCCGAGGAAGCTGTCTCGAAGCAGTAACTGGGTTACGCCACAAAGAAATCTCTTGGAGTTTACTTATTGGACAAAGAAGTGGCACAGTGACAGTTGAAGGCAGACGTCTCATTCAGTGAATGTCAAGGCTTGCTTCACCAACAAAGGTAAATCTCTCTCTCTCTCTCAACACCGGTCAAAATCATTATATTTGATTTTAGACAGGTGCTAAAGATTTTATGCGTTTGACCTCGGTTAGCCTTGGGAGTATTTAAAAAACAACCAGGCATTAAGAGTTTAATCAAATGGCTGTATTGGAAAATGATATTTTTACCTCGGGGCACTTTAAACGTAAAAATATAAACAAATTAAATACCTTAATCAGCATGTCAAAAACAGACTCCTCCCAGCTTGAAGAAATTTTTGTTTAATTACAATCAAAAGAACGGTAACCACCCTAAATGCACGTAATCCACTTTTTAGTGTGTTTTTTGACGTGCATTAAAAAGAGACTAGAAGCAACTCTCCCTTTGGCAATGAACCTCATGCGACTTCTAAATCATAAGCACAATGTGTGTTCTAGTGAATTAAAGTCTTGGTTGTTAGCGAAAACGATTGTTTTTAACAAAGCATACATGTTTACAAATTTCGGGATGACAGGATAAAGTTTATTTCTTATCAGTTTGAAAAAAGAGATAGAAGTGCCACTGGGATAAATAAATTAATTCCGGATATATGGCTAGTCGACAGTCCTTTATGTATGTGTGTGAATAGGTAGTTTACAAACACGGGCTACAGCTTTGCTGGGTGGAGAGGGGATTATTTATTATAGAAAGGATATGATTACCTGGTGACGGATATATAGAGCATATGTCAAAAAAGATGTTCACGTTTTGAAGGTTCAGTGGTTCATGTCACCTCGTTACGTCACGATTAAATCGCCGTGTAAATTGCACATCAAAAAGGTGAACGAGCAGTAAAAGGCATATTGTTGTATCGCGAACCGGAGGTGAACTGGTGGAATAAGAACTTAAATCGATCTGACGCCGCTGTGTATCTATTATCTCGAGCTGTTCGGGACGCTCAACGAGTTAATAGAGAATAACACTTGAACAAGACTCCACAGTTCCTTTGTTTGTCGCGCGACTAGGGATAAAAATTACACGGATAAAACACAAACGTTCTTGATAAGGAATTTGAAAAATCATTGTTGATATTTATGTTTGTCTATTTCATCTCTTGACAGCTTATATAAATATCATCTGAAAATAAGTGATGGAATAATGCCATGACCATGAAATTAAATCCTGAATATGTTGGTGTCAAGAGGAAATATGTGGACGAATTAGAGGGACGTCCTGTGAAAAGAATTTCTCCATTCCACAACACCCCCAAGGAACGCAAGGAAGAAAGAAGGAAAATTCTGAAAATGTCTATTCAAAAACTTAGGCAAATGGAGGACCCTGAATATTTTTTGACCCGGTCAGTGTTGATAAACAACACACTTAAAAAACTACAACAAGAAATACGCGAGGAAAAGAAATATCAAGGTTACAAAAACTGTATATACAAGTTACGTCCTAGTTACGGTTATGATGTGCTCAATAACAGTTATCTAGCATCACCGGATTCCGTGTTTGAAGATCCGTTTTCTCTACCGGATGATTCTGATAAAATGATCACGGACCAACTTACTCAAAGGTTAGTGAATGAGGGACGAGAAGATCAGACAGATTCCCCACGGGTGGATCCCGTGGAAAACGGGGTGGACTGTGTTATACCCGACACTTCACCATTTTGTGAAAATAATGAAACTTTAAGTGATGTTGACACTTTGCCCGTGAGTTCCTCTGTGCACAAATCTTGTAGTGAAAGGCAAATTTGTTCCGACATGGACGTGTTAAATAACTTAATCCATGCATTGGAAGAGACGTAGCGAATGCCAAAACGAATAAATATCTGTGGAAATATTTCGACAATTTTGTGTGTAAAAAAGCGCCCAAGCATTATTTATGTTTTGAGAGAAACATCATGTCTGCTTAGTAATGTATTCATTTCATGGAATGGTATTTATATAAGGTTTATTTATATGCAATGCATTGTTTATTAATAAAAGTTGTCATGATTCACAACAGCTTTCAGTGAGTGGTTGGAATTCTGTTTTCACGTTGGATATGTGGTAATTTTACATAATGCTTGAAATAATCATTAACACTCGCCTAGGGCGAAGTTTAACGGCCCAAAGTGTTACACCAGGGAAAAGGTGTATATAAATCATATATGTACACATGGTCACAAACCTAGATCTCGTCCATCCATGTTATATCAAGTCACTGTTCTTACACCTTTTTGTTTGTTTTGATTGATTTTAAATCATATGACATCGTTGAAGTGGCCCATTCTTTGACGTCACAAGTTAATTTTTTTTTCCTGTAAATGATATAATACACACTTGGTAATATCCTTCCTATTATGCCTTGTCCCAACAAAATTAAAAATGCATGTTTTTATTTGATTATCATTTTCGGTAATAACGTATGATTTCTTCTGATGTCGTCAAGAGATTGAATTTTTGATTAATTGATCCTCAGTCTCGTTTGTTTAGTATTTTAATTTAAATGGCACCAGCGAGTGAAACTGTCGCCATCAATAAAGTTTTACAATGTAAACAACCTTTCTGTACAAAAGATTTTTTTTAGTCCAAGGGTTTCCTTTGATTAAAACCATTTGAAGATTTTTTTGTATCAGGGCTAGTCACCACTGCAGACGATACAAATGAATACAAGTTTTTTTGTACGAAACCCCCAGTGGAAACATCTGTTTAACTTGATAAAGAGTTGGGGGTCTTGTAGCAGACACTGACAAACAGCACAGGCGTATCACCTGCAGGGATTGATTTTATGGGGAAATGGCCACCCGTCACAAATACTTGAATGGGCTACATTTTATAATGTTCTTCCTTAACGCTCCTTGTAAATGCTAAGGTTGAACCACCAAGTAAACGTGCTTTGAATATTTTTTTACTTTGAAAAAATATTTACCCCATCAATTTGTTATTCAACAAATTATTTCTATATGTTTTGTTGTATTTCAAAGAAAAAGCATAATTAAAAAAAAAACAGACTAAATTGTCAAACCCTGCATGGGGAAAGATATAACAAAAAATATGATGCGTGTGTACTTCTAATTAAGCTCCATAAATAATGAAGTAGAAATGATCAATTTCGTTTACCTAATAGGGTTACAATATATTTTAAATTTCATTTTGCTTGCTAATGGTACAGAATTTTAGCAAGCTGAGGGGGGAAAACTTGCAAAAAAGCGTACACAATACCTTTGAAGTAAGGCGTAATAAATTCATTGCATGGTGGGCGATTAGTCTGAACAGTCAGTTTTTCAATGCCACTTCTCAGTCGAAATGTCATTAGATGAATATTATCTCAAGGTTATCGTGCATTCAACAATGGATTACGTTTTACTGGCGGATCAATAGTAAAAATTCAGCGGGGGAGAGGTGCACCATGAATTGTGACATTACTTATATCTGTCAGTATCCGGTATGCTTCAATTATTTATCAAGCGAGTCGGCGGCTTGGTAAATCATAGAAATACTTAATTCTTTGCCCACACTTTTAATATGCATTCCATTACAAGAGCATGAGCCACGAGTTCTTGGAAATAAACGACGTTTTTATCATAATTACTTATCTCTCTTTTCACATATCGGAACTATCCATGCAAGAGTCGATAAATATGGCGTAACCAAACAGGAAACTAGATTCTCTTTTTCACTTCAAACAAGAATTTTTTTTTTTGCATATCCTTATATCTGTAAGAAAGGAAAAGGAATTCTCTTTGGAAATTTTACAACGTATCTAATTTAATTAAAAAAAAAAACAGAAGAGAGAGAGAGAACAAGATAACATTGTAATGCAGAAAACCGAACAATGAATGAAAGTTTCTCATAATTGGTTCACTCTTTGTTCTCGAATAATGAAAAAAAAACCCAACAAGTGGCAGTATTGTAGATTTCGGGAAAAGCAGCGTGATTGTTTCAGGAAGTCGATGTACATTTCACAGACGATAGTTGATGTTTTACGTCCCTATTCGTACAAGCAGACGAACTAACACGGACGAGGAAATAACGGAAGGCTTTGGGCCTACAGAAATTAACAATGCGTCAGCGCTGTCTTTTGGACAAAATCCGGCTCTTTCAGTAAAATATCGTAACACATTATTCATTTAAAATGTCGTATTGTACAGCGTGACATTTCCTCGGTTGTATAATATTTTAAGCATATCAAAATCATTTTCTCATAATGTGTTCCTTATGAGCTAGCTTATTACTGGTCCTAAATAACTATAAAAAAATTGACTTTAAATTTTGATCCAACAATACAAAAAAAATTGTATTCCTCGGGATTTATATACATCTGATAAATTGGAAAAAAAATCACAAGTTAAGATTGAATGATATGGTATTGAAATGCCAGTTAGTTTACAGTTAGCGTTCTAATGATCTAAGGCAGATCAGATACATAAATGTAGGCATATGCGTTTATTTAGTGTATACTGCGCCTGAGCTCCGATAATGTCAATAAATAATGGGAACCGATGTTTCGTCTGGACATAACTGATTTTGGCATGAAACAATACAGTAGTCAAGCGATCACAAATTAACAGTCGAGGAAAGATTAATAATAAACAATGTTAATAGACATCCAAGATTCAACGCATCATCAGTTCCGAATAACATCTCATCAATTACTTATCGGGCTTATGGACGACCCTTTGAGCAAGACAGTGTGACTGTCTTGTCCATTGAGTCAAAGCCCTCGATCTTATAGCGAAAAATTACATGGCACTATTGAATATAGTTTCATCACATTCATCCACTATATTGACTGCACGACACTGAAGGATCATTGGGAAACCGCCATAAAGGGCGAGGACCCTTAATCCTTAAGGACAGAGACCTGCAGACCACATGGCAATTTTGTAGGAAACATTATGATGAGGAATGTCAGTTTTGTGTGTTTATATACACGTACTTTCATCAGTGCAACATATCTTTGACCAAAAGAGAAATGACTCTCTGTTTAGGTAGGATTCGAATACCAGTAACGCAATCTATCCTGCTTCTTAAACACCTCAATGAACAGCTATAAATCGTATACGGAAACAATGTGTACTGTTTCAAATAGTATATCAATAAAGAAAAAAATATATATAGTCCTTGATGTGTAATCAATTATTTTAAGCAGTTTAATTTCTTGAAATAAAGAGTCGCATTCAAGTGTTTTCCAAATTACGTTCTCCTGTCAGTGAGACAGACAAACAAAATAACAAAGAGAATCTATTAAAATATATATCCATGTAGGTATACTAATATCCAGTGCCAGTACCAAGGAAGATTTGTACTTTCGATAACAGATATTTGATCTACAATGGAAAGAATTAGCTAACACGCTATGGTGCTATAATTCTGTTTGACATCTTAAAGTAATAGAATCCAAACAGAGCATTTTTGATCCAAAAGATTCAACATACATGATAGTGTTTGTGAAAAAGATTAAGCTTAACAACGCATTGGGATAAAAGATAAATATCAAGCATTTTGAAATTTAATTGAGATTATTTTCTTCTTAAATAAAAACATTACTTAGAATCTCGGGGTACAGGAATATCTGTAATTTTGACCTTTGATATCTCCATTTATCCGGTCAAAGGTTTTAACCAGATTGAATGACCTTGACCCATCACTTAATGACTACAACATGGAATGACAGGACATTAGAATTGGATACATTTGGCTCTCGGCTGATCAAACTTTGACCCTTGGATCCTGGATACAACACAATAGCCATGCTAAAAAGCACGGCACAGAAAGAGATTGAATTTTTTTCTTCTAATTTTAATTGACATCTCCTATTACTCGTCGCGAGGTGACGGGCGAGGCAGATGTGGAATGAGTATTTATTGAAAAGATTAGCTTTGCAATCTGCTTATTCTATCAGCAGAGTCAATACCGCACAATCCAGACGAGCGGCCGGCCATTAAGCCAATTACTGCTGGAAAACTCGTCTTACAGTTCATTTTCTTCTTTTCACTTAAATCGGCCAGTGATGGTAAACATCAATAATGTGGCATAAGATGGTACAACACAATAATCTTATACCAGTAAGAGGCCAGCACTTCGTGCCCTTTGGCAGCCAGTTTCTACACACATACGCATAAAATACCTGAATTAGCAAAAGATCTACGCAGGTGGGATTCTTTACGCTACACACATAATAAGGAGAGATTATCTTAAGCATATGTAAATTGCAAAAAAAAAATAAAAAAAAAATAAAAAAAAAAATAGTAAAATAAATTACTGTCTGTACCTTTTGCGCCTAGCTTTTACGCAATCATAAATAATATGAGTGATTTGACAAAGTGCATAAATCACTGGACTGCAATATTTTACACGTCGCGACTACTGTAATTTTACTAGACAAACACTTTTACCCGGTAAGATAACATGAATAAATTGAAGGCCAAATAACTCGGTGTCTAATCTTTCATGAATATTAATGAATATATGACTTATTAACAATGACAAAAACCTTTAAACAATAGAGACATTTTCAGTTGCAGGAAATGACCCTACATGGATATACGAAGAAAACTACATATGACACTGTAGATATATAATTTTTAATGACCGAAACAAAGTCAGTTTTGTTTGAAGGTGCATGCAGCAGGTGCTCGTGCGAATGTTATCCATCTGTCTCCATCGTGTAATCGATAAAAGCTGAGCCAGCCCATTTGAACATATTTGACAATATTATAAAATAAAACATAAATACAATCTTACTCCACTTGACACCACTACAGCTGGTGTATTAAACGAAAATTCGATAACAAAAAGAAACCAACACGCTGAGCGTTGTTTACTTAATACATGTGCCATGTTAGAAGAACATAATTACAATCTAGTTCATATGAAAGGATTGCCACCGGAAAGGAGAAGTGAATTGCCAATCTTCTATGAAATCGACAGATATTACGCTCCGCAAACATGTTCAAATATTGTGAACAATAATTACGGTTTATATATAAGCAACATATGTTGTCGACATGTTTATGATA